GCTGCTCTAACAGATACCTAAAATGTGGAAGCGGTTTTGAAACTGTGAATGGATAGAGGAGTGGCAGTGGCAGAGAACCAACAGCAGCAGAACCAGGAGACCAGCACACAAGATGGTGCTGGAGCTGACCCACGGAGCGAGAGAGCTGAGGGCCTGTGCGCAGGAGGCTTCCTGGCAGAGTGGGGTGCCTCTGGGCACTTATCGGTGGAGCTAGGCTTCTGACCCACAGAGCAAGGGAGCTGAGTGCCTGTGCGCAAGAGGCTTCCTGGCAGAGTGGGGTGCTTCTGGGCATTTACTGGTGGAGTTACTGAGCTTTGGAACACTTGCTCCAGAAGGGCAGATGCGGGCGTGAGGCCCAAGGGCCAAGAGGCCATAGGAAGCAGAAACTGAAGAGACAAGGAACACAAGAGCCGAGCTGCCTTAGTCTCAAAAGGTGATCACTTACTCCAGTCGTCATGTCTACAACAACTTGACTGAGGAACAGAAGGGCCGAGTAGCCTTTGCTTCCAATTTCCTGGCTGGCGATGCCTCACTGCAGACTGAGCCTCTGAAGCCCAGTGATGAGGGGCGGTACACCTGCGAGGTGAAGAATTCAGGACGCTATGTGTGGAGCCATGTCATCTTAAAAGTCTTAGTGAAACCATCCATACCCAACTGTGAGTTGGAAGGAGAGCTGACAGAAGGAAGTGACCTGACTTTGCAGTGTCAGTCATCCTCTGGCACAAAGCCCATTGTGTATTACTGGCAACAAATCCGAGAGAAAGAGGGAGAGGATGAACGTCTACCTCCCAAATCGAGGATTGACTACAACCACCCTGGCCGCGTTCTGCTGCAGAACCTCACCATGTCCTCCTCTGGCCTCTACCAGTGCACAGCAGGCAATGAGGTTGGGAAGGAAAGCTGTGTGGTGTGAGTGACTGTGCAATATGTACAAAGCATCGGCATGGTTGCAGGAGCAGTGACAGGCATGTTGGCTGGAGCCCTGCTGATTTTCCTCTTGGTGTGGCTGCTAATCCGGAGGAAAGACAAAAAGAGATATGAGGAGGAAGACAGACCTAATGAAACTCGAGAAGATGCTGAAGCCCCAAAAGCCGGCCTTGTGAAACCTAGCTCCTCTTCCTCAGGCTCCCAGAGCTCATGCTCTGGTTCCTCCTCCACTCGCTCCACAGCAAATAGTGCCTCACGCAGCCAGCGGATGCTGTCAACTGAAGCAGCACCTCAGCCACGGCTGGCCACCCAAGCATATAGCCCAGAGCGGCCACAGAGGAGAGGTTCTGAACCAAAGAAAGTCCACCATGCTACCCTGACCAAAGTAGAAACCACGCCCAGCATGATCCCCAGCTAAAGCAGAGCCTCCCAAACTGTCTGAATTACAGTGGACTTGACTTCCAGAGGGAGTCAAG